CCTCCCGCCTGCTACTGCCCTGACACGTGCAATGCAGCATTCTCAGCAGCGTTAGGGTCCTGGGGTTGCGGTTTCTTCAGGGGTTTAGGGTTCTTGAGCTAGCGGTTTGGGGTTATGCAGGGGTTTAGCGTGAGGGGTTTAGGGCAAAGCATTATGAGCTCAAGGGCACAGGCACTGGCCGCCAGAGCCGCCAGAGGTTTACAAGTATTGCTTCCAGCATCCCGCTTTATTCAGCTTGCGCCCGCCGGTTGGCGCGCTTTGCCACACCTTTCCCTCCGCCTAAAGTTCAACTGATGCTTTGCTTGGTTAAAGCCGTCCGGCAGTCCTTAGATTTTTTGAGCCGTGATGCTGATGCATGACAAGCTAACGCTCCGAGCTATTTCAAAGCCCTCAGCTCGGCACTCCGAGCCCCATCTTCATATTCTACTGTATACGATACTAGAATATCTTGTGCTATACTATTTGGCCTACTGTATACTATGCTTCAATAATATCTTGTGCTATAGTATTTGCTAGAGTATGGTCTACTATCTTATTCTAAATGCTGGGAGAGGTCCTGGCGCCCACCTGGCCGGATTTAGGCGGCTGCCGCCCCGAGCCGACAGCTTCCAAGATACATCCGCTGAAACCCACCCGCTATAATTTCAGGGGTGGTTACAAGGTCCCTAATATGGGTTAGAAGTATCGTTACCCTACTTATAACCCTACTTATAGCTTCCCGTGAACCTCCAAGTAGGGTTTAGGGGAAACCTTGCAATCTCAGACCGCACCGCTAAACTCCTTACGCTTCTCCGCTAAACCCTAAATGGGTCGTCACCGTAATCCACCCTGCAAGCCTTTCCCATAGATTTGGGTGGTTGTCAAAAGTATACTCCCTTTTTGGGTACCCTAAATAATAGGTGCCATAGTACAATAGGGACCCAAAAAGGCACCGTAATTTTGACAACTACCCATTGTTGTCACTCTCAGAACCCAGGTGCCCAGGTTTTGGCGCGAGGCATCTTTTGCAGCTGGTGTTAAGCTGGGTTGTCCTTTGAGATCTGTTTTACTTTCCCCTACTATTATGTAGAGAACCATGATAGTAAATAATTTGCAAAGGGCTTCAAGGACAACTCAGTAAGGTATAAGCTGGTTCCAGGGCAGCCTGACTGAGAAACTTGCTCACAGCTTCAGCTTGAGTTCCCAATAATGCAAGCGCATGCTTATAAACGCACCAAGCCCGCATTAAGTTTGTAAGAGCTGTCGTTCCTGCCGAGGAGGAGTATGGCTACAGAAAGATCGTGGAAGATCCTAGCAGGGGGCTCAGATCGCTAAGGGTTTGGATTGGGCTAAGGTGGAACCGTAAAAGGACCGACAGTCCCAGACTACATGCAAAAGATATGCAAAACCAATGTGAGACGTTCAAACCAGCGCAAGCAAAGAAGTACTATTTTCGGCGACACTCTCTTTGCTTTCGCCTGGGCATCTGTGAGGCGAATTGAGCCTGCGATTTTTTCATCTTTCTTGTGTTTGCTTCTTCTCCTCTTGCAGCTTCGCTTTCTTTTCGTTGCATCTGTCTGGGCTTGGGCTGGCATGTCCACGTTGGCCATCCAAAGCACTAAACCCAGAACTCCGTTTCCAAACCTTGGCGCCGAAGTCGGCTCGACTCCAAAGCATGCCTCAACGATTGCCGCGGGAGCCTACTTTATGCGTTGCCTGGGGAGATGGGTTTCAACTGCTAAGTTCATGCAGCTCCTATATCTGTTGATCAGGGATTTGTAGAGACTAACTCATCCAGTACTTGCATAAAGGACTTCACAAGTCAGAATAAGAAAGCTCTTTATTACTTTATATAAGTTACAACGATATGTCACTCAATGAAGGGGTGTTGGGATTCTCACAGTGTCTATTCTACAGTGTAGCGGTCTAATCAATTCGTGGTTTCAGTTCATAAGTCCATATTGAAACATGCTTTGGTCACAGTATCCCAAACTGCTATTCTGGCCGTTTGTTGCCCCTTTCATACTCGGCATTCCTAGGGAGGAGTCCGGGGTGCTTGCGTGAGTCCTGCCAGCATTTGAGGCCAATACACTGCAAGTCACAGGAAATCGCTCGACCCCGGTGCGACCCTACAAACCCCACAGCAAAATCCCTTAGCCTGGTAGAACCTACCACAAAGAGGCCCCTAAACCCTAAACCCTAAAGCCTAAACCCTAAACCTTAAGGCATCTACTTCCGGCGACTCGGTGAGGGACGAGAGCTCTTCCACTTGGGCTCTGCGGACCGGAAGGGGCAGTCGGGTCTTGTTCCCAGAGACTCCAAGATCCCTTAATTAAGGAATACCTAGGGTCCCTCTAAGGGATCTATAAGGGATCTATAGGGTTTAGGGTTTAGGGGGCTCCAATATCCCTTTTTTTTTTTTAAGGAATATTCCTTAAATTATAGTAGGATCCCTAATATGGTTTAAGGTATAATCCCTAATTAAGGGATATTGGAGTCTCTGGGTTGGTGTTCGGATTTTATTGGAATCTTGGGGTTCAGGGTTTAGGCTATGAAGGATTTCGGGTTTTGGGTTTGGGGTTGTTAGGGTTACCCGTATTATGATTTTCATTATGGGTATTATTCGTCAATATTGTCGTGCAAGCAACAACAACAACTATTACTACTGCTGCTACTGCTACTGCTACTGCTACTGCTACTGCTACTGCTACTGCTACTGCTACTGCTACTGCTACTACTACTGCTGCTACTACTACTACTACTACTACTACGACTACGACTACGACTACGACTACGACTACGACCACGACAACTTCTACTTCTACTTCTACTTCTACTTCTACTTCTACTTCTACTTCTACTTCTACTTCTTCTACTTCTACTTCTACTTCTACTTCTACTTCTACTTCTACTTCTACTTCTACTTCTACTTCTACTTCTACTTCTACTTCTACTTCTACTTCTACTTCTACTTCTCTCTACTTCTACTTCTACTTCTACTTCTACTTCTACTCTACTTACTTCTACTTCTCCTTCTACTACTTCTACTTCTACTTCTACTACTACTACTACTACTACTACTACTACTACTACTACTACTACTACTACTACTACTACTACTACTACTACTACTACTACTACTACTACTACTACTACTACTACTACTACTACTACTACTACTCCTACTCTACTCCTACTCTACTACTACTACTACTACTACTGCTACTGCTACTGCTACTACTGCTACTGCTACTGCTACTGCTACTGCTACTGTACTGCTACTGCTACTGCTACTGCTACTGCTACTGCTACTGCTACTGCTACTGCTACTGCTACTGCTACTGCTACTGCTACTGCTACTGCTACTGCTGCTGCTACTGCTACTGCTACTGCTACTGCTACTACTACTACTACTACTACTACTACTACTACTACTACTACTACTACTACTACTACTACTACTACTACTACTGGTAGAAGTACTTCTACAAAAAAGATGGAACTTCAAATTGAAGATGGGGATACGTTGCCATTCTGCCGATTTTGTTGGGGATCTTTGAAGCCAGAGCATCCAAGTACAGACCTCTAATTTTCAAGAAGCCGCTGTCAAATCCCTTATACAATCCTATAGTTCCAGTTTAGGGTTTAGGGGTTCAGGGTTTAGGGTTTTGTCACAGCCCCTTTACTAATTGAAGCCCAACCGAATCCCCTAATTAATGTCTCCATGGTATGTCGTATAGGCTTGTCTTTTTGTCACAGTCTCAGTGCCAGTAATTGGGTTTTAGCCTGCGCTCCCCGAGGAGGGAAACCAGAAGATCTGGAAATCAGCAAACTCTCGCGTTTTGAGCTGCTCTGTTTTGGGATGACCTAGGCGTCTTAAACAGAATCATCATATGGTTCCTTTCAAATTCCTAGCATTGGGGGGTGCGCTCGCCTACGGTTTAAGGGCGATTGTGGTATGCAGACGCGAGGGCCAGGAACTTGAAGAGATTGCCACTGTAAGTGGTCCCCTTCCCCCGCCTGCTACGATCAATCAAGGAGAGTCCTATGCCTATGCCATTGTGACTTTCATGCCGGGGTTGTAGATTGAAGAAGACCGGATACCAGGCAAGTCCTTTCCGAAAGTTGTGTTTAGGGGTAGTTTGGGTGCCGGGTGTCGGGTTAGTCACGTCGTAGGGATGACTTTAAGGCAAGGTTTACAAGCAGCCGAAAAAACGCGTTGCGCGAGGACCGCGCAGGGCCCTTCGTCTGCGCGACTGGCTGGTGACTGTGAAGCGAAAGGTAGGTTCATTTGGATTTCGTTCGGGCTAACCCAATTCCGATTCCCGTTTGGGTAGATTTTAAGGTTTACGCTTGAGGGCCTGGGGCTTTACTCGGCAGTCCAATCTGGGTTAGCCAGGGCGTTTAGGGGTGTAGAGTTTGGGAATCAGAGGACTTGGAAATGAGGGTTTTTTAGCGTTTAGGCACCCGTAGTTGGATGTTTGTGGTCAGATCAGATCTTCTCACACCCTGACCTTCTCTCCTTGCGGCCACCTGTTGCCTTGCCGGATTTATCCTGATCTTGCTAGTGCGTTTTGATGTTGCAGTCAAACTTCGGGTGTCGGGGCATGCGATAGGACATTGACAGATGTTTGTTGTTACCGGGGATCGCTCTTAACGCATTGACTTACTTCCACCCCGGATTTTGCTCTTCCAGCCCAGATTTTGCTCGATTTCGTGTGAGTTTGGCATTTCAGCGATAATGCCGAGACATGCACGCGCTTAGGATTTCGGGAATAGGGCGTACCCTCCCCCCGGCCGACCTCGGATTCTCTCCCAGGCTCGGTGAAGCCCGGCTGGACTGCTTGCCCCCCGACCGCGCTTTATGTGATCAACTAACTACTTGGGCTTGGGGTTACTACTTCAATTGTTTTCAGGTGTATGCCCGAGAGTTCAAGTAAGCGGTTTCATAGCACACACAGCTTGCACGCTCGGGCTCGGCAAGGCAGAACCGCGAGCGAGTGTCCATCAGGTCTTGAGTCTCAGAAAATGCGAGCGAGGTCGCCAACTGTACAAATCTTACGCCCCGCACAAAACTCAGAAAGTCGTGACCTAGCAGCCAGCAGAAGAGTGGATCGTACTGGAAACAAAAAGCCACCAATCGCAAAAGAAATTCCGAAATCGACAAGATCGATGCCATCAACTAAAAGATCCTCCCTCTGTAAGGCCTTGAAGATGCCCTTGAGCGCACGACGCGTCAGGCTAAACTGTACAGCTACCGTCAGAGTCGGGCAGTGTAAAGGAACATCAGCAGCATTCCTCCAACCCTCACCGGAGAGAGAGCGCACCGGAAATCTTTGCCCACCAAGGACATGGAATATGAAAACTGCTTCAAGCCAGGAAATCTGTCTCCACAAGTCGCCGGAATCAGCTTCGTCAGCCAAGAAGCTACACCAGGACAGAAGAAAGGTCGCAGGCAGCTCAGGGCAGGCGTCCGCCGCCCGCTGCTTCCAGTTCAAGGGCAGCTCATCCAGAAAATCAGCCTGAGCAGAGGCGGGGGGCGGCAAATCGGGCGAGCGTGGCTCCTCCAATTCAGCCTCCCCGCCGAATGCAAAGCCAGAGCGCTGCGTGGCGGCAGCGATGCCAAAGTAGATGCCGCGCAGAGCTCGAATGACTTCCAGAGTTTGTTCGTGCCAGCCCAGAGCGCGAGCATGAGCGTTAGTAAGCTCAAGTGGGCGATTCAAGTTCGCCAAGCCTGCGGCAGTATCTGCATGAGCATTCCACTGAATGGCCTAGTCCTCGAAAGGGGAACAGCTTCTTTGCGGGTCAAGATGGGAGGGTACATGTTGCACCGAAAGATGACCTGAAGGAAAGAGACATACCTGTTCTCGAAGCAGCTCCCAAAGATCAGCATTTTCGGCCGGCGTGAAGAAATCACCACGCAGCATCCGGCGAATGCCACGGCCCACATAATCCGAGTCAGTCCACAGCACTACCGGGACAATGACAAAGGCACCCCACTTGAGAGCGGCAATGGCGCCCCAGAGCTCTGCTCGAGGGGAAGATTGCTGAAGCCCAGGGACCGGCCCGCAGGCCAACAAAGCACCGGTGCAAGCATTGACACAGCTCCAGGCCGCCAAAGCAAGAGAAGCCCGTCGAGCATGAAGGCACGAGCCGTCGGAGAAGATATGTTGCGGACCGGCGGTGTGCTCCAAAGAAGCAAACTGGGCGGAGCGATCAGGCAATTTCAACAGCTCTTGGCGCAAAGCAAGGAGGTGCGGATTGCAGGGAGGCAAGAGATGCGTTCTCAAGCACTGCGGCAATGTCGCCCAACAATGACAGACCCATTGAAAAGGTAGGCGCGCTGCAGCGAATCGAGGACAGTGGCAAACGCGGTGTTCATGATCATCCAGGACCTGGCAAAGGGGGCAGAGGCCGTCCTGGGCTCGGTCAAAACGCATCCCCGAACATGAAGGCTCCGCTTCGAAGGGCGGCAAGACGAGCCGAATCCAGGGCATTAAGCCGACCAGAGTCTTCCTGCAGTAAGGCATTATCGATGCCAAGGAGGTCGAGCATGGTATGTCGGTGGCGGTGCTGGGTAGCCACGTAATTCAACCATGCCTGCTCGCAGAGCTGGCGCAGGAGACTGGTGGGGATTTCCAAGACATTGTGGACTAACCCGTCATTGTCCGTAACAAAAGGCGGGTGATCAATCCTCCAGCCGATCTGTCCAAGAACTTGAAACAGCTTCGAGAAGGGGCCATGCAGCAATTGGCCCTGAAAGTTGGCAGCAAAGACGGTCCACAAAGGAAGGACCCTGGAGTCTTTGACAGCCAGTCTTCGCAGGTCGCGCAGAGTGCACCAGAGCTGATAGAAGCCCGGGTCGGCATCCAGGAGCCTCAAGTAGAAAGGCGGAGCATGGAGCTCGATCCAGCCGAATTGGGCCCCAAGGGCCCGCACAGCTTGGGCACGCAAACCGGCAATGACGGAGTCGGCCAATGGGCAGCCCGAAATGCCATGAAGAGCATGACTCCAAAATTTTATCGGCAAGGCCCGCAGCTTGTGCACATAAGCACTTGGGGAACGACGAAGGCGGTCGAACCAAGGGCCCAAGTCCTGGCAACGTTTCACCAATGCTGCATTATGCTTAGAACGCTCAAAACTCAAGAGGCCACCAAGCTCGCGGGCGTGTGTCTGGACACGAAAACCCATTGCCTTAAGCTGTGAGCGATGTCCGGGCTGAACTGCCCACACGTACGTCTTGGAGGCGTCGGCAGTGAGGCCCCACATGTCCAGGAAAGCAAGGGAGGCAGCAGTTCCCGTCGCAAGTTGACCGACGGACTGCGCGGAGCAGGCGAGGTTGTCAACGTAAGAATGAGGACTGCAAGCAGCCGTAAAGCTTTCAAGGTATTGGTGGAAGCACAAGCAGACAATGCTCATGGCAACCGTACTCAGGGCGCACCCCTCGGGGAAGCCGCAGGTCGAAAGCTGAGGTTCGCCGACGGCGTTGCGAATGAGAAACCGGCGCTCAAGCTTGTCCAGGAAGGAGCCCCATGGGCGCAAGAGATTTGGTGGCAGGCCAACCCAAGCCGCAATCGCAAACACAGGTTGTCGTGGCAGCGCGTTAAACGCCTTGATGACGTCGGTGGCATACCCCAAAAAAGGTAGCTCGTTCTGACAAGCGAGCTCAACCTGAGCTTCCAACATCCACCAGAATTGTGAGGCCTCGCGGTGTGGCATGAAACCAAGGGCGGAGTGAGGCATGAAATCAACAAGCCAACGTAGAACCTGGCGGGCCCGAAGACCGCTCCATGCACGGTATGCGCAGCAAAGGAGGGTAATGGGCCGAAAGCCCTCCGGACCCTGTTGCTCGTTTGGCTTTTTGAGGCAACATACCAGACCATTAAGCCATTGGGCGGGCCATTCACGCACACCGGCCTCTATATCCGCCAGGAATGCAAGAAGTTGCAAGGCATGAGGATCGGACATGTTGAGCAAGTCAAGTTTGGCAAATCCATCACAGCCACGCGCTGCACGAGGCTTGAAACGGCGCAATGCACCGCGCCACTGATCAAGGCTGATTGGAGGCAGGTCCAGTTGGCCCTGTGGAAGATAGGCCTGGGCGAAAGATGTAACACGGGACCAGTCGGCCTCAGAGGAGTGGGCGAAACGCTGCCAAAACGAAATCCAAAGCTTTTCGAATTCAAACTGTATATGAGAGGCCGAGGAAAGGACAACAGTCTGCTCAAGCTCGGCTTCGGGATGCAAGGAGGGACAAGAGGGAATGCAACACAAGTCCCCGTCCACAGAAGTCACCTGAACGGCCCACCCATCCAAAGTCCACTGGCTGCAGTCACGGTCATCAATCCGATCAGCAAGGTGAACACCGCAGGTGGGAGGGTCAACATCCAAAATCTGGTATGACCTTTTAAGCTCAAGAGTATCAACCTGTTCAGGCTTAGGATCACGGAGGTCACGGAACAGGAGATTGTGATTATGAGCATATTGTTCAGCCAAAATGGCGTGCCGCTGGCGTATGTTCCACGCCTCGAATTTACGAAAGTTGTCTCTGAAGTCCAGAAAGAGAAGAGAGCAGAGCTCCGCACTGGGAAGAAAGGCCGGAAAGGCTGCAGGGGATCCAGCAAGCTGAACCGGGCGAGTGGGCCACCAAAGCTGAAAAGCAGGGCGGAAGCCTCGGGCAGAGAGAATCGAGCGCCACAAACCCAAGCGGTGCTCGATCGCACTAGGGGATTGGTTCCCGGCACGCATAGCATGGTCCAAAGATTGCAACCGGCGGAGTTGTTGGTACCAGCGCTTGACCTCAAGAGACAATAAATCATGATGTGCAGCCTCCTCGCCGGGTCTGGCCGGCTTGGGAGGGTGAATGCGAGGAGGCCGATCCGGAGACAGTCGGCAGGCGCGGCCATGACAGCGGTGGGGCAGGCAGCCAGAGGGGGCCCCAACCACATGACCCACAAGACTAGCTTCAAAGCCCCTTGCAAAAGACCGCAGCCAGCGAGTGGAGCAAGACTCTGCGATGGGAATGACATCACACTCCCGGGTCCAAGCCGGTAGGTCAACAGAAGACCAAGGAATTTCGGCGGGGAGAGGCCAGGATTGTACTCGGTGGACCCCAGTCAACCGGATCCCGGCGATTACCGTGGCATGCTCCGCAAACGTCTCTTGGACGCGGACCGACTCACAAAGGGCTGCGGCCTCAGGGCTAAGGAAAATGAAATCACGATGTGTTGAGCCCTTACAAGTAGGAACCAGGGGCGTTTGCCATCTGATTGCAGCGAGGTCTTGGGCCTCAATCCAGCCCTGTTGTTTCCAAATTGCGACCTGATGCAGGTGCTCGTGCCAATGATTGAAATCGCCAGCAATCATTCTGATGCCTTTACGGCCCAAAACGAGTTCATGGGTGAGGGTTTCAAGCAGGCGCTCGGTGCGAGCACGTGCATCAGTGTAGGTCCTGCCACGCGGAAAACCGTAGAGATTGGCAGTGAGGATCGGGGTGTCATTCACAAAATGGTGCAGGGTTTGAATGCGGCCGGAGTGGAACGAATCATGCAGCCATTGCAGCTGCACCGGGCGGCAGGGAAAGTCACTCAGCGTGAGGACTCCAGTCCAAGAACCAGCATAACTGGAACCAGGGCGAAGAGGGGCCGGGGCCCCGGCAAAAATGCGCACATCACGGTGCTGTGCCCGCGTGACGGATGGCTCGAGACGCAGATGGCAGACTGACAGCAGACAACTGAGTTTCCGAATACTGCCAGACCCCAGGGCCGAAATCGGCAACCAGTTGTTCTTTGTTGCGAAGGCCACTCGGATTGGAGGTGCCAAAGGAAATGATGTTATCAGGGCCAGGATTGGAGGCCTCACCATAACGGCAAAACGGCTCTGGTCCGCGTTCGCCGACGACAGGGCCAGCAAGGCAGAGCAGAAGAAGAAACCTTAAAAGGCGCACAGGCCCAGTGCCCCCAGGCACGCGCATCCTGGGCTTCAGCCGGCTTCGGGGCCAGAGAAGAGGGGCACGGAGACCCCAAGAATCAAAGAGCGGAAGCGACCTGCCCCCCAAGGTGCGCGCATCCTGTGCATCAGCCGGCCTGCCTCTGGACCCAAAGAGGCAGCCGGTGGGACCTAGTCACTCCGTGCGGGGCTTCTTTGCCAGCATGGCCTCCAGAGATGCAGTCTGAGAAGCAAATTGCTTTTGCATATCGCTCTGTAGCGAGTTCATGGCCTGAGCAATGGAGGTTGTGACATCCGACTTGAGCGCCGAGAACTCGCCCTGCTGAGCAGACACTGCCTTTTGCACCTCAACAACCTGCGTAGCCTGCTGGCGCATTTGGGTGCCGAAGGTCTGAAACCATTCCTCAAATTTGCTGTTCTGCATGCGCACCTCGTTCAGTCCAACCTCAAGCTGCTGGATGCGGGCATCGTTAGGGTCAGCAGCCTTCACAGAAGAGGTGGCAGCTTGGACCTCTTTGCGCACAACAGTGGCCAAATTGGCTTGCAGCTCAGACTTAACCTCAGTGAGTTTGCTCACAGCGGCCGATGGCGGAGCAGGGCATTGCTGAGACGAAGCAGCAGGGGCAGGGAGCCCAGGCGGGGGGCGGGAAAGACTCCATGGATCACGACCACCAGCCCAGGGGTCAGCAGATGACTGAGGGACTTCAGGGTCATCATACAAGATGCGCCGACGAGTGCGGTTGGATGCGCACAATGCCTCGGGTTTGGCGGGAGAGCTCAGGTCCCGAAGCTTGTGAATGAGCACAAAGGCATCACCCGCCTGCAGCACAGAGGAGGGCGGGTCTTCGGCACTGCCAACCTCCCAGGCACAGCCAGAGGAATCTCCTTTGCATGGTTGCAAGGGCTTCGCAGCCCACTTCCACTTGCCCAGCAACTGCACCAGCGTGTGCCTTTGAGTGCCATGCGGCAGAGGATGTAGCCGCCACCTAGACAACACCTTGACCTTCACAAAAGTTTGCCTCGGGCGGAGCTTCTCGAAGACAAGCTGCTCATGTTCATCCAGAACCCTGATGCCGAATTTATTACCGAGCCGCGCAAGCCCCAGCGCTTTGTCGCATGTCCTCAGGAGGTGGGTGGCCTGCGCTTTGTCGTGACCAGGGAGCCACACGACCGCGTAGGAGGGATGAGGCCCAAAACCGTTGGCGGCCCGGGGCTCAAAGTAAAACCCGGCAACATGAACATGCTGAAGATGTTTGGCGGCGGAAGCAGGCACACGCACCAAAGCCTGAAAAAGTTCGGCTGCCTCTGGAGAGGCCCTACCACCTTCTGCTTTTGCAAACTGTCTGGCCCAGACATCTAGCAGCAAGCGTTCCACATGCTCCTCAACAGCTGGGTGGAAAGCAGGACAATCACCTTTGCAGTTTGCGTCCCTGCACAAGTTGAGGCCCGGGATGTGTTGCAGCAGCGACTTCACAGGAGCCTTTGCAAAGACCTCCCAACCAAGTTGGGCCTCATCTTTGAAGAAGGAAATTCGACCCGTGATGGTGTCCAGTTTCTCAATGTCACCCATATCGGCATCGGCTGCAGATAGCTGCACATGCTCATCACCGAGCTGAAGAATGGTCCCGCTGAGCAGGACAGCTTCCTGTGTCGGGGCGTAAACGGCCGGGAAGCGAATCGAAGAAGCGGGAGCTCCGGCACACACCTCTGTTGGGACTGGAGCAGTGGAGATGAGAGCAAGAGCATCAACACTGAGAGCCCGGTAGTCAGAGAGGAAGGGCAGCATCTGTTGGCCGGTGCAGAAAGCAACGCCTCTGGCCTGTGGGCCAACCTCGTCGAAAGCAAGCTGGGAGAGCGAAGTGCCATCAGATGAGACAAAAGCTCCGGGAGCAATTTGCAAGGCAGTGGGGTCAACGTTAAGGACAGGTTTGCTGGTCCGGGCAGGCTTTTGTTTTCTAGCCTTGGCATTTCCAATGGCGGCACCAAACTGCAATTGAGCCTTTGCCTGTGCATGGGCGCGCAACTCTTCTGGACGTATCCACCTGAAGAGGGAAGAAGGGCAAGAACCAAGGGCCTTCAGAGCCTGCCAGGGATTGTCGGCTGCCAGAGCTTTGGACAGGGGGCCGGCACCTATCTTCTGAACAGCACCCTGAATTCGTTCACCGACATGATCGACAGTCACACCCCTGTCAACCAAGAGCTGGCGCAAGGTGGAAGTCTGAGCCTCAGAAAGGGCACCGGAGCCATACAAGACGGCCGTATGCCGCGGCACAAATCTGCAGTACGCTATGGCATCTTGGAGCAAAGTTTCAAAAGTGGCATCTAGGTCCCCGAGCACCTGAGCGGCAAATGCAAGGAGCATGGGCCCGCATTGGCCCGGCTCGAGCTGAACGAGGTGTGCAGGTTCGGAGACAATGGTTTGTGGCATGTCACACGCAAGGCAGATGGCGTCAGCAAGGGCTTGCGCCGCGGTTGTGCTTCTACCCGGGAGGCCATCAAACAGAGTGACGGCAGGGCCCGCTTTATGCTCCCGACTAATAGCAAGCAATGCCCAGTGCCCCTCACACAGGAACGGGAAGAGGCACAGTTGGCAAAAGGCCGGCCACTCGAAACGGAGGTTCTCAGCAGGGTCGGTGCGTAACCAGGTCAAGCGGAGCCAGCCAGTTACAAGCGCAGGTGGAGCAACAAAGGCAGGTTTCGAAGAAGCGGCCTGCAATCTCAGCAATCCCGTCCAAATGGTGACATCAGAGGTGCCCTCCGGCTGTTGCGGCTCCTGAGGCAGGGCAGGTGCAGTCCGACATGCAGTTTTCCGGCGCAGCACCAAGCGGTACGGAGAGGCCGCACCGTTAGGATGCAAGAAGGCCCCCGCAGGGAGGCGACGATCACCCTCAAAAACCTGAATCGTGACCCCCGACCCTTGAAGAGCCTTCTCAGCCTTCACAAGCTGTGCAACCGTGGTAAGCGGTCTCATAACTTCACAGTTTTTGATGTTAGGGTTTTTTGGGGTCTAGACCCGGAATTCACGGGGTCGTGACCTAGTCCATGAGACGTTCTTGAGCTAGCTTTGGGGCCGAGCTTTGGGTTCAGGCTTCAAGAGAAAGGAAGTGAGGGTTTGGAGTTGGAGTTGGGGCTTTAGGGTTGGAGGTTGAAATATAGTATGCCTCCCGGTCTCGAGGACGTTAAATGCAGGCTATGAATGTGTGCAGATTGAAAAGTTGAAGGCCTTAAGCCATAAGATTCGAGGTTTGGTATCTTCAGTTGGCTTTGTTCATGTTTCGAAGTCTTGGGGCTGCTATTGGGGCTGGCTCCGCGGGGTTCAGGCTTTTAGCAGCATGTGGGCCTGAGGAATCATATGGCAATACTATTCGTTAGTTTTCCCAAACATACTGGTGGTCTAGATCATATAGGTATATACTTTAAAATCCTATTCTAATCAGTCTTGGGTTATGGTACGAGCTGGCTATCTGGACCCCTTCAGGTAGCCTTAGTAAAAGCCTGGTGGGTTTGTAATAAGGACGATTTAGAGCTAGGGGTATGCGGTTTTTCGGACCTGTGCGGTTGGGAGGGGCCGTGCACACTTCTGGCATCTTCATCCTCATGTGGTATTTGGAGAGGTACCTAGCAGGACTCTCATTCTTGCATCCTGCTCTTGCATTCTGCGGCATCTAGCGTTTTTTAGCGATGCCTAGCTTCCCACGAATCCGCGGCCACCAACACTCCTTTAATCCCAGGGTCGATGGCGAGTGCATGGAAGACGTCACTCTGACGGGATGCCACGAAATCAGAGGTTGTGGGTGCCTCAGTGAAAGGATTCCGTCAGACCGCCGTCGTCCTTGTTGTCCCTAGTGTCGCTGCTACCCTAAAGCCTAGACCCCTAAACCCCCCCTAAAACCCCAAACCCTAAACCGTGCTGCTGTTGTCATATTCACCTTTTCTATTTCGTGACTCGGGTGTTCGGGTTTTCAGGTGTTGAGGGTTTCGGTTTCAGAAGGGCTTCGGGTTTTTTTGGTGCTCGGGGTCTTCAGGGTAAGATTCGCAGAAGGCACCCATTGTAAATCCTAGGTCCTAGGCCCCAAACAGCGGAGCCCGAAACTTTCAGGAACTCCTTAGCCCCGGGCCTTTCCAAGCTTCGCCATGGACTGCAATGCCGGATACTTTCTTCGTAGCCCCAAAGGCTCTACATCGGAAGCTTATGACCCCTTTGCTCTCGGGTATGAAGATACTATGGGGCAATTTGGAGCTACAGCCACAGGTCCAGCCCAACCTGTTTTGGGGGTTCCTTATTATACTTATGGTATAGTTACCCCCCAAACCCTAGTCCAATTGTTCAGGCCGCTTTATTAAATCGCTTGAAAGGCGTTGCGCCGACACTCTCTCGCGAAGTGCTCGTAGAGTTGAGCTTCAACGACAGCGACATCGCAGAGGACCGTGCTCCTTTCAGGGTCTTCGGGTTTAGGGGTTTAAGGATTTAGGGGGAGTTCAGGGTTAAGGAAAAGGACTTCGGGCTTAGGGCTTAGGGTGTAGGGTGTAGTGTCGCGATTTTTTAGAGTCAGACTTCAGAGTTCCATGTCCCCAACACAATACGGACGGAAATTGGGATTCGGGTTCTCTATGTTTTTTCAACGTGGTGGTATATTGCAGTCGAAGTGAATAAGGAGCCCCAAGGAATAGTAGTTCTACTTATTCCGACTTCCATCGCGGGGTCTTGTTCGGAGGGCGAACCCTGAACGAGGACCGTCCGACTAAACCCACAACGAGCTCCCTAAGCTTTGTAGAAGCCTTGAACATCTCTAAACCCTAAAGCCTCAAGCCTAAAACCCTGAACCCCTTAAGCCTACCGTCTAAACCCCAAACCCCTAAACCCCAAGCCCCTGAACCCCAAAACCCTAAACCTTAAAGCCGTAAGCCGGAAAACATATGGAGGCCTTGAGCCCCGTAAACCCAAAACCCTAAACCCTAAACCCCTAAACCGGAGGTGCCCGGGCTTTACGAGCTCGCGGTGGTGGCGGGCAGCGACCCACGGGCGGTCGTGCCCTGGGCCTCTTGGCAGTGTACACGGCTTAGGGGTTTAGGGTTTAGCGGTTTAGGGGTTAGGGTTTATAGGGGTTAAGGGGTTTAGGGGTTAAGGGTTTAGGGTTTAGGGGTTTGGGGGTTTAGGGTTTAGGGTTCAGGGGTTCAGGGGTTCAGGGGTTAGGGTTGAGGGTTTAGGGTTTTACGGTGTGTGTGCGTGTGTGTGTGTGTGTGTGTGTGTGTGTGTGTGTGTGTGTGTGTGTGTGTGTGTGGGTGTTTGGGTTCTGGAGGGGGGTGCTTAGGTGATGTTACTGGGTTTTAGATGGCAGGTCTTGTAAGGAGCTTCGCCTCTTTCGATTGTCAGGATTTTGGGATGGGGCCTTAGCAATTTAGTGGCCTTTAGTTCAGGTATTATCGGACTGAGGACGACCCCCACTCAGTAGTAGTTGAATAATATTCATAATATGGATATATTAGGACCTTAATAGTAGCTCTATTATAGACTCTTGCTGTAAGGGGGCAGTACCTAAATTATCGGACTGAGGACGGGGCTCCAGGATTTAGTCGGGAGTTTAGGCTTCATGCCTCGGACGTAAGGCTGGCGGAAGGCTTAAACCCTAAGCCCTGAATCCCAAACTCCCAAACCCACATCCCCAAAGTCAAAACTCAAGCCCCAAAATCTAGATCCCGAGCCTAAAAGCCTGGAGTAGTCAAGTTCTGACATGGTAGGCGTCTCAGAAGGAAGCTGTAGGTTTCAATCCTAGACCCCGAAGCCCCCAACACGTAAAGTTGCAGGCATCATGTCTTACTTTCCGCCGCAAAGAAGCCCCCCAAGGCGCCTCCGGCCCCCTCGGAATAGAAGTCATGACAACATCTTGAATCTTAGGGTTTAGGGTTTAGGCTTTAGGGGTTTAGGGTTTAGGGTTTAGGGTTTAGGGTGAAAACTGAACCTGAAATCCAATACCTTAAACAGGGGCCCTCAATCCCACCGCAGACGCAGACGGATCCAGGAATACCAAGCACTGACACGGCCCGCACAGTGCAGGAAGCTTGCAGCTGCCAGTAATCTCGCTTCAAAACAGTGGTATTCTTTTGCAGTCACTTTAAAACCCTAAGCCCTCGAAGGATCAATGATAGCAACCGATATCATGGAACCCTTTGAGTGCTTCTGGGGTCTTGGGCAATTCGGGATAAACAACCTGAGATACTGAGGGAGAGTAACGCCTGTAGCAATCCCTAATATTGTAAATGCCCTGCCGGAAGCATCAGAATCTCTGAACCTGCATTGGAGGGTCCAGGGGGTGTAAGGCATGGCTAGCGGCTAGCTTAGTACACGTATGGGTACCGCTGTAACTTTGGCCCGCCGCTCTTCTGTCAAGGTTCCTCGAGCGATGGATTCCGTGCCAGATCATTGCAGGCTCTGCTCTCGGCGCGGGTTTGGCTTCAGCGGTTTTGGGTTGGGGTTTAGGCTCTTGGGTTTTGGTTTTGTGGTCTTGGGTTTGTTGGGCTTCCGGGTGCAGGCAGCTTGGTTCGGGCCGAACAACGGACCATCATCACAGTGCTGAGCATCAGAATAACACTATGGTTGTTCATTGTATTGGCAGTGCCGGATCTTCACGACGTGGAAGTGTGATGTTGATGTTTCTATTGACCTGGACTGGACATACAGACCAACCGGGCGGTTTGACGTGCACAAAAACGCAACTGCTGGCTGTACATAGTAGTAGAAGTCCGAAGATTGAGTTGTTATTGTACAGAACGGATTTTTTCATGTGTAAATCATATGCAAATGTGGTTGCTGTTGTCAAGCACGGCTCCCTAAAGCGCAGCCGTAAACCCTGAAGCAGAACCCTAAGCCATAAATCAGAAACCCAAACCCCTAAACCCTAAACCCCTAAACCCTAAACCCATATAAAATGTAAACCCTAAACCCTTAAAGGCCTGGGTTGTCAAAGGTACCATGTCGGCGACTGCGAGCGCTTGGGGCAGAACCAGAGCTGCGAGGTGGATGAGCTTTCCGCCACAAGGGCTTCAGAGTAGTTGATTTAATAGTGACTTTGAAAGGTTTTTGTGGGTTTCATGTGGTCTTGCACGGGATTCGACAGGGCTATTGTAGCATTTGTGCAGGGTCCGTCTCACGCCTTTCTGGCGTATCTGTCACAGGCTTGTGGGGATTTTACAAGGTTTCAAGGTTTCAGGTGTTGGGGGTTGGGCTTTACGGGCATTGAGGACCCAGGATTTAGAACCCAAACCCAGCAGCGCGTCGGCACCGGCGATTTTCGGATCTACAGGCTCCCCGTTCTTGTCCGGCCCAACCCGACTCTGAGCACTTGGCAGGCCCGTATCAGGGCCTGAGTGGTTTGTTGTGGGGCTCAGGTATTTTTGGTGTTGTAAGGGCTTTTGTTGCAATAAGGTGTGTAGGAATACAGGCCATGTGTACTTACATTGTATCCACTTTGGTTTATGAAGGCCCCTGCATAAGAGACTGAACACCTTGAGCTTGACCCTCTAGGCAACCATTTCAGATAGATCCGAACTCCGTTGGCAGAATACTAGGAACCTAAAGCCACTACAGCCTTAGCCCTAAACCCTAAACCGCTCAAACCCCTACACCCTTAGCCCTAAACCCTAAACCCCGTAAACCCCTAAGCCCAAAGCCCTTGGCGCCCTAAGACCACAACACTTAGCTCTCCCAGAGTGCCCTGAGGCCTTCGTAACACTTAAGCCCTGGACGGTGAAGAGCAGAAAGAGCCAATACACTTTAAAAAAAAGAAGAGCCTGAAAGTTTCTATGCCCTAAACAGAAACTCTATGCCCCGAGACCCTATAAGCACTATAAAATTCCGTTGAAGAAGTTTTAAACTTAAGCCCCCGGCCAGGAAACGCCCTTACAACCCGAGTGTTTGCCACCCTGGAGCCTGAGCCGTGACAGGTTTCCTGCCGGCCGTGGGGTCCCCAGCAA